GTTTCTTAGTATTGGCTGAATCTGAAAACCTGAAACATTTTGTAAACTCAACAAACAATTGGTAAATATAATTTCAAATTGAAACACAATTAGTCAAGAAGACAAAGTAGCTAGAACTATGCATACAGAATGGAAGGATCTTTGTTAAAATTACATTTTTTGTTTGTAGTGTGCAGTTTATAGGATTGTAATTTTACAAGGTGTGATATTAAGTTACAACAGTATTCTCAGGTCCAACTTTCCAAACCTGTATAGACAAAATTTTAGTATGGTTTGTTTTGAATTTCGCACAGAGCTACATGAGAAGTATCTGCGCTAGCGTCCCTAATTTAGCAGTGAAAAACTAAAGGGAATAGCACTAGTCATCACCACCCACCGCCAACTCTTGGGCTACTTTTTTACCAAAGAATAGTGGGATTGACCGTCACATTTCATCGTCCTCACTATTAAAAGGGCGAGCACGTTTTGTGGGCTGAGGATTCGAACATGCGACCTTCAGATTCCGAATCAAGCGCACTAACCATCTAGTCGGGCCACGAAATTTCTACTAATAGAACGTGCAATAACCTCTTCATTTGTAAATGAGAATTTAGTGACTTTGATTTTCATATCTGTTTGGACGGACTACTTTTCAAGCTTCACTCAAAGCCACAGTAAAAAATTGGTTCACATTAGAATACTGAACAACTCTTCAAAACAACTTTTTAATTCATTTCTGAAAATAAAATAGAACAATTTAAGTTTTTAATAAAAGCTTCTGATAACATATTGTAGTTGGTTTAGTTCTATAAAAAACGAGTGAATCCTCCAATAAATGTCCCACTGTGGGACAGCGGTAAGTTTACGGACGTATAACTCTAAATCCGGGTTTGATTCCCCGTGGTAGACACAGTAGATAGCCTAATGTGGTTTTGCTCTAAAATAAACAAACAAACCTCAAATAAAATAGTCAAACTCTTAAATATTGTTAATCTTACTTGGCAGCCTCTTCCCATTCAGCTGCAGCTTTCTTGTTTACTTCTTCGGCTGACCAGTTTGGGTGTTGTGCTTTAACAAGTTCGCGTGATATTTCCTGGTACTGCCGAAAACCGCTCCAGTTGAACTCCCACACGGGTCTCCATTCTTCCCAGTCGATGACGGCAAGACCTTCAAAATCTTTATTTGGTATTAACCTTTCAATATCATTCTTAGTCTTCTCAAGGTGCTTACTTAAATCAGCAAGCTGAAAAGGTGGCGGAGTCTAACATTAGAACATGGATTGTTATCTAGAGTAGATCTGAGAATAAGTAAAACAAAAACTTTTACTGTTCTGTTTAAAAGTTATATGTTATAACACATAATCGCTTCACTAAAAAACTTCTTATATATATATTTAACAAGCATTAAGAATGGATTTTGCAAAAAACTTCTTAATGCTTATTTTATATTAAGTTCATTATTGTTTTGTAGTGCTGATTTTAATCGCCTATTAACAATTAATGTAAATAATAGGACTGAAACTATTTATTTCATTATGTATATATATATATGTATGTATAATTAGCCCTGTATTAAAGCGAAATGTTTTCGATTCAAGAAATTATCCGAAACACATAAGAAAAACAATGTTTATGGAGTGATATCCATGTTCGCTATGATCATTGATACATTTTACTTCAAAGCGATAGTTTCACAGGTAACATTTGGTTTCAACTTTACGTCAGAACACAATGTCAGGTAAAAATTACCCTCAATATGGCTAAACACTCTTTTATGTCAGCAGATTTTTAACATTTCACACCTACTTCACAACAGTAGGGAATTTCAGGAGATTGAGACACCTCGTATATATATATATATATATATATTGACCATTAAAATCATTCAAAAATAACTGGAGAAGATGGTAGATGAAAACCTGAAGAAAGTATTCAATAACTTTACAGTAATTCTATCAAGGAAACACACATATATACTTAGTATTGTTATTTTAATTAAATTAACCTTTTCACCCAAAATTATCATCTGACCTGAAGATACTTTAGGCAAAGTCTATCAGTTAGTGTTACTTTTCGGAGCATTCTTTTTTACAAAACTTTATGCCAATGATATACAAAAATGGGACTGTTTATTTCTTAGATCAGGTAAATAAAACATACCTGAGGGTGTCCACCATTAACGTGCGTTCCTTCTTTAATCCTTGGATAAAGCCCAAGATCATTTGAATAAAATATTGTAATAGAGTCGCCTTTGAATTCCTCTCCTGTATTCACAAGCACCCCAAACTTTCTCAGTGAGTCGGTGACATTTATTCCATATTTCCTTGAACACTGCTGAGAGGGAACATTCCAAAAAACTTTAAATTTTATATCTTCTTCGGCAGCGTGCTCATCAAGACTTGTGAATAACACAAACGTGAGACAACAGATCCAGGAAAGCATTATCTGCATTATATAGAAAGAGTTTTCAATTTTTGACCACGGATTACTTAGTCTGAACGAAAGATACACTTGCTAGGTGTGAAAGCAGTGAGACTTTTTATACGTGCTGTATGTCTTATCTTGTCTAATGCTTGTGAGCTCTCGAAGTAACAGGTGTTATTGATGGACAGTTCGTTTTGATGAATCATAAGCATTAGTTCAGGAAGGGAGGGAGGTACCCCATCTCCAACACAGGGAAGCTGCACCTGACTTATTCATGTAGATGTTCTTACAGTTGCATATTATCCAAAACTACAACCTACAAATTACAGTAGAATATGAACCAGCATATCGGTCCATCGACTGGTATGTATTAATAAATAAAAAGCATTTTACATTAATTAACAGACTAAGTATATAATGGTTGGAAACAGTCACTCGCCTATACTATATAATTAGGCGATTTTTCAAATTTGAATTATTTAAAACATTATTATACATAATGTCAAAATTTCTGATATATCACGATCTGTCTTGTTTTGTAGAAGAAAAATTAATCCTGTCGCTTTACAAGTCCCTTCGCACAAATAATTTTTCTCCTGGTTTCTTTAGCTCTTTTTTTAAATTGAGATAACCTATTTTGTCATTTTCTTGTTGTAAAGCTTGATGAAGATGGCGTTCGTAGTAGTCACTGTAGAAAAGTATAGGCCTAGAATAACCCAGTTTGATGTGGAGCAACCTAACGGAATAGTTGTGAACCTACTCCAATGACAAAGAACTGTTTATTAAAGCCAATTATGCCAAAATATCGACTATGTAGTTATTATTGCAGCTAAGGCGCAAAAAGCTACTTTCTCAGTTATCGTATGGCTCATATACTGTAATAACATTGTAATTTTTTTGTCATTTATTGTTAAGTTATCTATACAGAGACTGAGTATATAATATTGATACGAATTTGGAGATTAACCACGTCGTTGCATTCTATGGCGACATGTCTGATCATGTTCTATCTGACGACCGTGTTTCTTGACAATAGCCATGAAGTATAGTTGTGTAGTTTCCATTGGAAGGCTGTCATGTTCAAAGCAGAACTCTCCAAATCAATCTAATGTGTGTGGCCAACTGTTTCTCAGCGTCTGTTTGAACAGTATGATCGCACAGAAATCCATGGTGAATTGAATGGTATGTCTTTGAATGGAATAGCAGGAATATTTGTTTCATTCCCCAGCTGCTTAAGATTTTGGACGGTTTTAGGCTAGATGTATCCCTCATTTGTGTTCACCACACTGTGGTATGGTTTGTCCTATGTAACTTATTAGCCCATATTGAATAATATATCGCATATCTTATTGATTGAACATTGTAGTTTTGAGATGTAATAGCTCTCATCAGCCCATCTGATGATTATGAGTGTTATCCAAATGAGTTTCTGGTATTTTTTAGATGTACTAAATATAATATAAAAATTAAATAGCCCACCCCTAGTTGGTCAGTGATATGTTTACGGACTTGCAACGATAAATCCAGGTTCGATTCCCTGTGGAGCACAGAGCTCATATAGCCTATTGTGTAGCTTTGCGCTAAGACAAACAAATAAACCTGAAAACAAAAAATACAAATGAAACATATAATTAATAGTTAAACCAAACTGTTTCTCACCTCTATAGACAAGGCTCATTTGTTGGATGTTCCTTAAAGTGATCGAATTAGACTGTTGAGAACAGGTATTGTATGAGATTTGTTATAAGAAAATATGTTGAATATCGTCGTTGTTTCATATCGTTAAAAAATCATTAATTATGACAAAATGATTATGTCTTTAAACGTAATTGTATTATGTGGAACATAATTTCACCAGGGGTTACTGAAAAATCATAGGTTTTGTTCAGGAAAGTTTGTACATGCTACACAGGGTGTTTCAAAACTATTGCAGGAGATGTAGATTAGTTTGTTTTGTTGTTGTTTTTTGTCTTTTTTAAGTTTTTTCTCAAGATATCAAGCCTATCCCAAAAGAAAATAAAGAGAAAGAAAGAAAGAAAAGAAAAACAAAACACAAGACTGTTAAATTGCAGTTTATCACTATAAGAGTATGATTTGGGGATAATCCATATCAAAGTGGTTGATAACATTTGTACTGATGCACTTTCACTTGCTATGTAATTTTATGATCATAAGGTTATTTGTATTGGTTGTGTTCTGCACTGTAATTATTGAAGTTTTGAAATCTTTCGGATATTGTATTATATTTAATGTATTGTTGCCAATGTATATGTATATATATATATGTGTATAATATCTTAGTTTAAAATTGTCTAAAGCCAATTTTTAATTCTCTAAGAAGGGAGTTGTAACGAATTTGTTGTTACATATTTATTTTAATGTTAGATGTTAGTGTTAGACGTGTATTGCGAAACTCCCACCTATTCTTCAAAGTTGTAGAAGATTCTCGCGAGTAAGAATCAACAATATATGTATATACGTAAACGCTTAAATGTAGCTCAGTATTGTTACATAAAACTGAAATTTCTTGAACGCCTTCACACGGCTATAAAAATAACCAACGCGACGCGCAAAGAGAGAGTATGTATTAATAGTTTGCTATAGTCGGTGTGCTATAAACTTCGAAAGCTATAACTGTGATTGTTATAACACTTATCAATCGGAAAGCTTCAGATATTTTACCAGGAATCTTTACAAAGTTCGAACATTACAAACTATTTAACTTCAGTGGATTCTCATCTGACATTAGTATCTTTACAAAAACATTATATAAATTCATCGTGGAGAGTTCAGCGTGTGTGGCCGGTAAATAACCTAGTGTCATCGGTGTAAACTCAATCTCTAATAGGAGTATGATCAGCGAGAACTACAGGGCTAGCTAGCTCCCTTTTTTGTTAAACGAATCGAACCTAATAATTAACTCGCTGATCGTGAACCCTCGATAAGATATCGAAGAAGTTCCAGACTAAAAGTAAAGAGAAGACTTTATATTTCTTGTAAGTTTGTGAAACTTTTGTTTATAAATCATTGTTTGTAATAACCGTTATTGTAAATTGTATTGTTGTGTGTATATTAAAATGTATTTGTATTAAAAAAGAAAATTTTGTATAAATCTTGTTGGCAGATATCATAAGCTGACTATATAACGGCATATATATTTAAATACTAAATCCAAAGTACAATTAAACTACTAAATTAAAGTATCAGTTAACTCGGCTTCGGACTATTTGAAATTCTAATACGTAACATAATAAATTGGGGGCTCGTGTCCGAGATTTGAATCAGATACAAAATTTGGTCTAAATTTAAATTTAAATCACAATTGAATTTATATTTATCAGTGCCAACAAGATTTGATCATGTCTGATTATCAAGATTGTTGCATACATCACTGAACACATCATTTTGCACTCACCAAAACAGACATGGTTGTATGTAAGATAGCATGTTCGATAAGCAGCCACTGTTCAAAGTCATAAATCACTTACTTAAAGTAACTCAAGGGTGAACATGAATGATGATAGTTCTTATTTTAAAACAAACTCCAGGGGAATAACAAGTTGCTCAAAAAATTCACTCTTTAGGAACAATAATATAGTGTATTCTTTTCACTTAATAATATTTATTATTTGCGTAACTTTTTCTTTATAATTTTTTCTGTAAAAAAGAAGAGGTTGCTACTTTTAAAATATAAAAATATAGTCACCCTAGCTTAGAATTAAATATATTATGGAATTAAACTGAATTCTGACCTGACTGAACTAAAAGATGAGACTGGACACAAAGTTTCACAATGAACTAAAACACTTTTTTGTTCAATTGGCACAAAATATGACAACAGCAAAAACTCATTTAATGGACATGTATGCAGAGATGAAAGATGATGGCGTTTTTTTTTCTCATATGTCAGAAAGATCTATGCCAGTTGAAAATAATCATGAGAGAGTCAGTCATTATTAAGTATTTGTGTAAATATGATCAAATATCACAGAGTGCATTGGTCACTCACAACACATATTAACTCGTGTTAGCAAAACTAGGAAAGACAAGTTCTTTCAGATATTTCTAAACCTGTGCATGACTGATACAATTAAAAACTCATTTATACAAGCTTAAGGAATTCTCCAACAACATCTACTGTGGGAAAGTCTAGAAATAGTAAAGGAGAATGACTAACACAAGAATAAAACCAATACAGTCCAAAGTCAATTATTTGCACATAATGTGCATATAGTTCAACATGTGTAAGTAAAAAAATGTTATAGAATTTTAGCGATAATAAATATTCACCTTTCTTAGCTAAAACAGAAAGAAACATTTGGTGTGTTTGACCTACAGTACACTTACTAAAATGGTGAACTAGTTTCTACATTTTGTTCATGAAACTGTGTTCCTAGCATCTAACCTGGATAAGAAACATTGCTAAAACTTTCAATATAAAACAAGTCCAGGCTTTTCTTACCATTCCTTTTTTTTTTTTAGGTTATATGTAAAATATGATACATATGCTCATATTTATACACATAGAATGCTACAGTAAATACATGTACTAAATGTATATAATTGTCAAAACTCAATATATGTAAAATACATGAGAACCACAATAATTCATTTCCATATATGACTTTTTTCATTTTTTTCTTAATCAAAATGCTTCTTATAAAAGGCAATATGATGTGCATATAATATAATAGATATATATAGTGTGGTTTGTATATTATGCTTAAAGACTGTTCATAATGAACTGGTAGTGTACTAAAATATTTTTTTGTTATTCTTAATATTCACAAGAAATAAAGGGCTTTAAAAGTATAGTTGTATTTTGTAATAAAAGAGTGATTACAATAAGAATCTCAGTTATCTTGTTTAACTTTGTATATTGTTGCGTCAGCGAGGTCACGTGACTAGTGTCACGCCACGTTTCTACAACTATCCTGTTCCTTCGGGAGTGCTCTAGCAGTTGAAAGGTTGGGGGTGGGCTGGTATATGTATGATGTTCGCGGCGTGACGTGACAGTGTGTGTGTAGGTAGTGAG